TTGTGAGATTCAACTGGTAGTGTTATTGCCAGTTGATTATATCGCGTTTATCGCTAAAGCTATAAAGTAAATGTTGACTCCGATAACGTTGTGCTCTGTCCGTAAAATAATCTTTATATTTACAGAGGTAATACTATTCTACCAATCGGAGATATTACTATAATACCAATCGGTGTGCGCTTTGACTCATGCGTTTTAGCCATTTCATTATGAATATTTTTCCTGAAAATATAAGTATGCACGACTCTGTAAACATAAACCCTCAGTTAATAATTTATTGCTTTTTACTTTAGAAAACTTATTCGGAATCATTATTAGATCCGGAAATATTACCGTAGACAAACCGTAGAGAACCCTTCAAACGGACCATCTTCGGTTGCAAAAACCTCTTTGCAAAATGGCCGATGACGTTTTGTCTATGTCTAAAGAATAAACTATTTTTGGAGAACGCTTAACTCAAACTAGTTCAAATTTTTATCTTAGATAGTACTCATAGCAAGACAGCTCTGGTAAAAATTTAAGCTCATTAGCATTTGATTTGACGGAGTTATAGCATAAGCAAAAGTTTCGACTGAAAAATCGCTTTTTCTCCGTATTTTACGACCTTTTTTGCAAGCACTCTAGCGGCAAGGGAAAGCATTTTGGAAAAAAAGATCAAGATACAAAAATGTTCAGGACACATTTCTCTATCTGCTCTGATAATTTGAGAAAAATCAGTGACAGTGCATTGAGCAACTTCGTTCGTCTCTATCGTGCACTGCCTCCTATATAACAGATGACTTTCGAGTCTAGCTCACTATGTGCGTTTTTTCCAATCTCAAGTTCAAACTTTTTTATCGAAAGATACACCATGGTAGACCTTCTTCGGAGGCCGGGTTTTTTGATAGATCGACGCGCCCTGGTGTCTACTTTAAGAAACTGAAAACCGCAGGTGTCTAGCTTTTTCTGTTGCAGGGATATTAGAACGGAGTTCGTTATTCATTGGAACAGATAGTAGTAACCACTTGTTTTAGCTCTCTATTATTATCTGCGAAAAAGAATTTCTTTGATCGACTTTATACATAAGCTTGCCATTTGCTTTACAGTCAAATTTATCTAGAATCTTTGAACTCTGATCTTACATGTTTCCTCATAGGCAATAACTGGCAAATTTATACCAATTAAACAATTTTTTTATTTCCATTCTATTGAATGCTTACCAGAGAATGTGTTTATGGCATCCACGGATGGTACGATAGTCGATTTACCACAAACCATTGACCAAACGTCAATAAACGAGTCATACAAAACTTCACGATATTATTCACAAGAGATTGTATTTGGTCGAGATTTTCAACATAAACTCGGAACAGCAAAATATTTTGTTGTAAGTATATTAATACAAGCTTCATTTATTGCATATCTAGTTTACTCACATTTTAATCTTGATTCAATTATTGAAAAAGTTCGTGATGATTATGAACAGCTGTCACTAGTTGAAACGGTTTTCTTTACAAATCCGGTTTAGTCGTCAATGTTAATGTCAAACAGACGTATATAGCTTAAGTGACTATGTTGTCTATAATTATCACGAACGTTTTTCAATAGTTCGATCAGGGTGAGAGTAGATAAATCCAGATATGCTCTATGTGGATCCAAAAATACTATTATTATACATAAACGGATGCTTGTACGATAAGTTCTTTTATCGGTTGGCGCTGGAGCTATTGGTTGTGAAATGTTAAAAAATTTTGTTATGATGGGTATTGGATGCGAAGAAAATGGTGCTATCTACGTTGCTGATATGGATAGTATTGAGAAATCAAATTTGAATCGTCAATTTCTGTTTAGGAATTGGAATATAGGGGTATGAGATAACTTTACACTGCTAAATTAACTTGAAGCTTGGACAAATCAAATGTACTCTTCTGTTTTTATAGCAAATGAAATCGAAAATAGCAGCCGAAGCAGTAAAACAAATCAATAATGTTGTGAATATTTATGCGTTTATTGAAAGTGTTGATTCATCTACTGAAAACATTTTTGATGATCAATTTTTCGAATAACTAGACTGTGTCGTTCATGCTCTTGATAACATTAACGCGCGTGAGTTTAGCTACGACTGATATTAAAAGTCTTCTTTGATGTCGATTACAATTTTTGCTGAGCATTAAACAAATCTCTTTTGATGACTCAGATGGTGTTACTTCGACTTTTAAATCCAAATTTCAGAAATGAGCTTTTCTTTAGCAATAGTTTTAAAAAATTGAGCTATACATTCCTGTACTTACCTGGAATATGCAAAGTTTCCATAATCAAAACTGTCAGTATAGAAAAACCACTACTTAAAATCTGTAAGAGGAAAAGAAGCTATTCTTCTTAAGAGAGGTTCCGTGAGAAAATCAAGAAAGATGGAAAATGACGATGAAACCTTTGGACATAAAATCTTTTAATGCGATTTTTTGATTCTTCAACAAAATTTACTTGCACACTCAACGCAGTTTAGGACATATATCATACTTCACTACGAATAGGGTCCGAAGATTTTTAATTTCTGCCGATATTAAATTCATGATTTGTTTCAATCCTTCTGGTGTTGTTTAACCAACAGCACTTTCTGAACGTAGCGCTGATCCGCCTAAATAAAACAAGGACATTTCTTATAAATATGTTATATCAGCACGGGAAGTGTTCATACTGATATAAACTAAGGTCATTGAAGGTCAGTCGTCAAGAGCATATTTCTTCTATTATCTCTGTTAAACATTCTATCGCTGCCTTTTTTCTAGCTACTCCCTTTTCCTCTCATATACATTTTGTTATTTTAAACTAAAATATAATTGGACACCAAAACCACGGAATGATATAGACGAATTTTCATTCTCATTTTGAATTCTCATTTTTCGCGAAGTTTCTGTACTAACAGTTTTAACTATAGAGACTTTCAATATACCAGGTGAGTACAGGAATTAACTTCGATTTATAAGTTTAGTTCAGCCGTTTAAGCGATGATTTTTTCTCACAAAATATCGATGATTATAAACTAATAGAAGCGTAATTTTCTTTATGCAGGTCAATATGTAGCTCGCCGTTGCATTGATTATCGTAAACCATTGGTCGATAGTGGCACGTTGGGAACAAAAGCAAGTGTACAAGTTGTCGTTCCTTTTTTAACAGAATCTTATTCACCAAAGAAAGATCTTCCAGAACAATTAATACCGATGTGCACATTAAAACATTTTCCATATTTAATTGAACATACAATTGAGTGGGCACGAGATCTTTTCGATGGTTTATTTACAAATCCGATAAAGTTAGCCAAAGAATATCAAAAAGATCCAAAGTTAGTTGTTGAACGCATTAAAAAATTAAAAATGGCTCAAAAAGAAGAAGAAATTAGAAATAT